TTTCTTAGTAAGTAGAGGGATTGGCTCACCAATTTTGTTGATCCTTTTAAAGAACTAGTTCTTGATTTTATTTATCTTTTATTCTATGATTTACTTATTTACTCTCTTTTTAATTATTATATTCTACCTTTAAGTTGACTTTTGGTCTGTTAGTGCTTCTTTTCCTAGTTCCTCCAGGTATGATATTAGTTAGATCATTTATTTGAGACTTTTCTTGTTTATTGAGGTGAGTCTGTATTATGAAGAACTTGTGTCTAATAGTACTTTCACTACCCTTCCTTAAATCCAACAGCATGTCTTCTTTTTTGTTGTTCTCCAGGTAATTTGAAAATTTCTTCTTTGATTTCTTGGTTGACTAGTGTTATTCAGAGTAGTTTTTTAGGCATTTTCTCATTTTTCTCATTTTCATTTTGTTGTTGATTTTCATACCACTGTGATTGGATATATGCTTGGTATGAATTTTGCCTTTAGTATTATGACTTCTTTTGCATCCCAACATGTTATATATCCTTGAGAATGTGCTTTGTGCCCTCGAAAAGAATGTATTTACTTCTTTGGGGGTAGAAGTTTTTTTAGTCTATCATGTTGATTACTTAATTCATCGCCAGTATTTCCTTGTTTTTTTTTTGTTTGTTTTGTTTTTTTTGGGGGGATGACTTGATAGCACAGCGGTAGGGCATTTGCCTTGCACGTGGCCGACCCCACTGACCTGACCCGGGTATTGAACCCGGGTTCAATACCTCCACCCTTCCCGGAGAGCTCGGCAAGCTACTGAGAGTATCTCGCCCACATGGCAAAGCCTTGCAAGCTACCCGTGAGGTATTTGATATGCCAAACACAGTAACAACAAGTCTCACAATGGAGACGTTACTGGGTCCGATTGAGCAAATCGATGAACAACGGGAGGACTGTGACAGTGACAGTGACTATTGCTCTAAGTATCTGTTAAGATTCCCTGCAACTCTTGTGTTGCTCTCACTGCATCCCTAGTATTGTTTTTATATTTGGGTACCTCACAGTTTGATGATATCTGTCTACCTATCTCTATATATGATAACTATACTTTCTTGATGGATTGGTACCTTGATAAATCTGTTATATCCACATCCATCTCCTGTTATTTTTTATTGGTTGAAATGAGATATGAAAGCAGCAGCTTCTGCCTTTTTTTCTCTGCATTATTGGCTTGAAACTTCTTTTTCCAGCATTTCACTTTGTGTCTGCATTTGTCTTCATGTCCAGTGTGACACTCTTGTTTACATAGTAAAGGTGAATCATGCTTTGAGAGCCAGACAGTCACTCAGGGTCTTATCATTGGCGAGTTCAGACCATTCACATTGCAGACAATTATTATTATGTTACCAATAGAATAATATTGGGATTAATTGTCCGGGCATGTCTGGTCAATTCCCGTAGTCAGGAAGATAGAGATAAACATCACCAGTATTTTTTTGTAGTAGAAAAACAATCAAGTCTGCAGTGGGGACTAGGGTGGGGGAGTATCACAGAGAATCGAATGAGAGCCTTGAAAGAAGTAATTATGGACCAGAATTGAAGAATACTCATTCATGAGGGGAATTTTATTATGCCATTTATTAAGAGCTAAGCAAAAAAAGATTTGAAAGGATAAAAAGATACTTAAACTTAGTCTCAGCTTATTTGCCCAAAATGGAAGAATTCAAATATTTGCGGGAGTGTCATGAGACCTAAACAATGTTAATGTTATCAATTAAACATTAATGTTAATGTTTAATGCTATCAATTAAACCATTCAGTCAAGTTTCTAGCACCTAAAACAAACTTGATTACTATTTCCCTTTTCTTTCCATATCTTTCACTCTTTAAGATTAAAAAAATCTATCATGGCTCCATGATTTACTAAGTTATTCATAGTTGAGTTTTAGACATATTGTGTTCCTGTACTGAGCTCACCACCAACATCAACTTCTTTTCACAATTATCCCCAGTACCACCCCCATGTGACCTCCTTGGCAGGCACATTTTAAATTTTGGTTGTTGTGGTAATGGTCTCATATTTTCGGTGTTGTTGGTTTTGTGGTTTGTATATATACCTGTATCACTTCTCTATATTGCTCATGCATCAAACGCCTTTGACCTCTGCCCCCTATTACTTCTCTTCCTATTTTCCTTCTTGATTTATACCCTTCTATGTTCTTCTCATTCCTATACTCTGTGATCATGGAGGATCTAGGAAATCCCTCTTTTATACATTGCATTTACTTATTCAGTTTTTCTATACACTGCATATATGAGAGATCATCCTGTGTTTTTCTATTCACTTAACATATCTTCCAGTCTTACCCACATTGCATCAAATTACATGATTTCATCTTTCTTTACAGCTGTGTAATATTTCACTATGTGTGTGAATATATATAGTATAAAGTATATATAGTATATAATATGAAGATGTAATATATCTGCATACTACATCTTCATGTATACTACATCTTCATGATCCATGCATCTATCATTGGATATACAGGTTGATACTATATATTAGCTATTGTTATAAGTGCTGATGAATAATGGTGTGGATATCCCCTTTAGATGGAATGTTTTTGTGTTCTGGGAGTAGATATGCAGAAGTGGAATTGCTGGGTCTTATGGTAGCTCAATTCTTAGTTTTCTGAGAAATCTTTATACTGTTTTCCATAGGGTTTGAACCAGACAGCATTCCCACCAGTAGTGGATGAAAATTCCTATTTCACTCCATCCCCACCAATATGGTTTATTCCTTCATACCACCACTCTTATCTAGGAAAACATATTGCTGCTCTTCTGCCAAATTATAGAATAGGGTACTATTATCTAGGTTGCCTGGAATACCTCATCTCCTTCCTTTAGACCCATGGGTCATATTGAAATAAATGATATCTATCTATTGTGGGCATGTGTGTTCTTTTTGTTTCTTTTAGCTAGAGCCTTGTGCTCAACTATACTCAAAGTTAAAAAATAGCAGCTTGTTTATCTGATTCCCTTAATATGAAATTATTCAGAGAACTTCCTAAAGGTATATAAGGTAGAAATAATTCTTGGCTGCTAGTAAAGTTGGAAAGAGTGGCTTGAAGCAATTGGTTTTATTTTTCTCGTAATAAAATTGGCCACACTGGTTACCTCATGACATCAGGCCCAGATTTCTTTCATCTTTCTGCAGAGGAAGCTGACTGCTCCCTGGCCTCTTGTTAGCTGAGCTGCCTTTACCTTCAAGTAGAAGAAGGGAGGAGATAAAGGACATTGGAGTAAGGGTATGGCATAGGTTGTCTCTTCCTCCCATCTCCCCTCAGAGACATTCCTGAAGACTTCCCTATAACTTCAGCTGATATCTCAGCTAAACCAGTTGTGTCCAGAAGAACTTTCTGTGGTAATATCTAAATTGAGACTCCCAAACTTATTTGACCTATTGCCTCCTTTTTAGAAAAAGGAAAAAATAAGACTCAGTACCCTCCTGGAAATCTACCTTGAAGAGAGCAAATGGAAAGCACCTCTTAGACACCTCACTCCACTCCTAATCCCCCATTCCCACGATTCCAGTGTATCATTCAATTTAGAAAACACTAAACTCAACTTTCCAAGATAGTAGCTGTTGCTGCTTCCAGTCACCTGAGTCAATCAGCATTTCAAATGTGGAGAGTGTGACTGTGGAACTCTACATGTTTAATTTTGATACAATGCAAATTCCTGTTCACGTGTTAGCCTACGAGAGTAGGGTGAGATCCTAAACACGCGATGCTTCATAGGCAAGGCAGGCTGGGACACTTAGTTTTGGATTAAGTACAAGGCTTCTTTCCTGAACACTGCCTCTCTAGGTATGGACAGGCAAGCAAACAAAAGCATCTATGGGCTGGGCAAAAAGCAGTCTTCACAGCAAAGCATTGATGCCTGCTCATGCTCCACAAATGCCCAAGTTTGGAGAATGCCCTGAGAAATGACGTTGTTTAGGTAGACATTACGTTGGAGTTCCAGGCAATTCCCTTCTTTCACAGTGAAGAAACCCAGTTGAGGTGGATGAGTGAGGGGTGTCATTTAGAGATCCATCTGTTCCTAGGCTCTACGATCTTCTGTGCTAAATCTATGTTCTTTAAAATGGGGCCGGAGAGTACAGTGGATAAGGCAACCTCTTGTACACAAGTGACTCGGGTTCCATCCCCGGCACCCCATATGGTCACTGAAGCACCACCAGGACGGTTTCTGAGTGCAGAGCCATGAGCCAACTCTGAGTACAGCTGGGTATAGTCCAACAATGAAAACTACAAACACATCTGTGGTCTTTTAAAATATTGCCTGTCAAATATCAAAGAGAAAATGCTCCCTTCTTCCGATGCGCAGAACGCAAGGACAAGGGAGGTGAAGACGGACGTGGCTGCCACCTATTGGTAGATGAATGAACCAGGTGTCCCCTCCATGGCTGAGCTTGAGGGTGCCAGAGGGAGGACAGCCCCCTTGGAGGGAGGAATGATACGTAGCCAGGCATGTGCCCTGTCTCAGCCTGGCACCTCCGTGTTGGTTCTCTCAGGACTTTGCAGGTCTCCGATGGGCTTTCTTAGAGCGTCCCTCTCTGCTTTCCAGTAATAACACCCATCTCAGGCATCCACAGAGATGCCAGGGGAAGACATAACAGTCAATTTTCAAGATCACACAGAACTGAAGAGGAAAAAAAAAGAACACATTTTTTTTAAAGTTATAAATAAACCTGGGGTGAGATTCAAGGTTCTTATTTGATCCACAGCCTCAAAAAAGAAATCCTGTTATTTGTGGCAGTCCCCTTGGCTAGTGGTGTGTGTGTGTGTGTGTGTGTGTGTGTGTGTGTGTGTGTGTGTGTGTGAGAGAGAGAGGCAGGGTGGGGGCGCAGGCAGAAATTCAATTTCAAATCAGAAAGCTCACCCTGACTCATTTGGGGAAGGCTCCAAGGTTCTGACGACAGGGCCTGGGTTCTCTGTGTCTGCTTTCCTCATCTGCTACCCTGTACCAAATGGTATCTACTGCCTGTGGAAGAAGCCACAATTTCTTCCCTTTTGTTCCCTGGCCCCAGGCCAGCGCTTGCCTTCACACTCTGTGGGTGGGGTGCCTTTCAGATTGGCACAGGACAGGGAGCGAATGTCCCCGCTGATGGTACGAGAGACCCAGCAATTGAATCGACCCCTGGCTGGAGCCTCCCCAGAGAGCTCTGGGCACCCAGGTGACACCGTGTGGCTTCAGGGTTTGGCTTTAGATCTTTCTGACTATGGCTGTAGAACCCAGCAGTTCCGAATCCCTGGGAAGGAGAGTTGGAAGGAGGTGAGTGATCCAGTGAGGGGAGTTGGATGTTCTCTTGGTCCATGGGGGACTCTAGGTGGCCTGAGGCATGGAGACTGCAGGCTGGTTTGCGAGTGGGTGATGCCTTTTTTTTTTTTTTGCCAATGGGATGAGTTGTTGATGTCCTTGAAGAGGTGGGATTTGCGCCTTATCCTGAGCACCTTTGGATCTCCTTTTCGTGTCATGCTTGGAGAAATAGTCCCCAGCTCCTGGCATGAAGCTGCACATGTGCGCTACACACCGCCTTGCAGGCGACTATTTGTTTCTAATTAGGGAACTGAAGCCTGCTGGCAGCCGAATCCATATTTGTCACAAGTTGTGGCATTGTGTTTAGGGTGCGTGTCTATGCTTCTCACTTGGGGGGTGGGGGAGGCGGCGGCACTGGGAGAACCCGATTCTTCCCTCTGGATGCGAATTGCTTGTGTCCTCTCTACAGTGGTCCCATAGTATTTCTTCAATGAGCATCCCCATCCCCCCCCCCCCCCAACTCTTATTAGTCAACCGGGTTTCCCTGCTTGGCTCACTCAGACCAGCCCAACCCCAGAGATTTTTGTAGCGGTAATAAAAACCTACTTGGGCTGGTGGTTGAGAAAATGAAATGACCAGGTCAATGGTGTCCTTAACAGATTGCTTGGAAATAGTTCATGCCTCACGCTTCTTAATCCCTTGCCTCTCACTCCCCAAATAAGAAGCACATGCGAAATGACCCAGAGGGATTTTCATTTTATTTATTTGTTTTTTAAATTTGATTATTTCCCCCTGTATTTAAACACTGTGGTTTACAGAGTTGTTCATGGTGCATTTGTTATGGACATGTAATATTCCAACACTGGTCCCATCCACCAGTGTGGCCTTCCCTCCACCATTGTGCCCATTTTCCCAACACCCTCTGACCCCCAAGCCTGCCCCTAGGCAGGCATAAATGACTTTATGTTGCTTTTTACAACTAAATGGCTAATGTAATTATCAAAAAATATTTCAGTAAAAAGAAAATTTGTGAAAATCTCAACATGGGGACATTAAATCCTTGTCTGAGGGTTTACTAAACCATTGCTGCTAGATGAGACTTTGATTTTAAAAAATTTTTGTTTGTTTTGGGGCCATATCTGATGATGCCCAAGGCTTACTCCCGGAACTGCCCACAGGGACCATATGGGGTGCTGGGGATCAACTGGCTGAGCTTAGTGCAAGGCAAGAGCTCTACCCACTCTACTATCTCTTTGCCCTTTGGTCATTGTTAAAAGTTGTTTCCTAATTGCGTCTCTGGAATCCTAGTAGGGCTACCTGGTCTCCACCTACTATTTCTCCTCCTTTGGCTTTTGCAAGCTGGTGCTCTGTGTCTGTAAACAGCCCTTGGCTGATCATCTTTATAGGAAGATATCTTCTTGGGGGTGGGGGACTTAGAAGCTGTGGCGGAAGATCCTCCTGTTTCCGTCCTAGTAGTGATGCCACCCACCCCTTGGCCCCCATTCCATGCCAGAGAGAGCTCTTCTTGAAACTGGAGATTACTAAATTCGAACTGCAATCCTGCAGGTCCTTTGCGCTGGGATGAGACAGTAGGCCCAGGTCTGCACATCTGTCCCCTGCGTCCTGTGCACTGATCTGAGGCTCCTTTGAGTAAGTTTGCATCAGGAAAACCACATTTGCTCTCAGGGTGCTTTGTAAGGCAGAGCAATGATCCCACTTCCAAGAGCCCCGTGTTTCTAGCCGGCACTCTCGCTATGGCTGTGGTTGCATGACTGGGTGCTCGCAGGGAGTTGGGGCACTCTATGTATCTGGCTGTGGAACACTTCCTATGCGAGCAGTATGGTCACACTTGGCATGGGGGGGGAAGGGGTCATGTCCTGGATGTTGAGGATTCAAATGAACCTCCAGGGGATCCCCATATCTTTTAAAATTTTATGGGGAGTGACTCCCAGCTGTGCTCTGGGTTAACTCCTGCTTCTGCACTAGGCATAATTTCTCGGGGTGGGGGCCTCAGAGAACCATCTGGGGTACCAGGAGCTCGAACCTGAGCCAGCCACGTGCACGGCAAGCGTCCGACCCGCTGCACTCTAGCTCTGGGTCATGGGTTCCCTTACATCCCCGTGATTTCAGACCTCTTTTTTTTTTTTAAAAAAAAAAATATAGTTAAAATACAGGTACTCCCTGGGAGTCTCATTCATCTTAGACAGGATGACACGGGGCGAAAGCGGCTCCGTGATCTTTTTTGTTTTTTCATGCATTTAATTTACTAAAAAGCGAGAGCATCTCGCTCCCACCCTATGCCAAGTACTCCAGGCGATGCGGCGCGGAGACCGGCCTTCAAAGATGTGTGGAGGCCGCGGAGCATCTCTCTCGCCCCGAAGTTGGAACCCGAGAGAGGACCCCACCGGGGTGGCGGGGGTGGGTATGGGGGAGGGGACTGAGCCGCGGGGCACTCGCGGGCGTCCGCTCGGTGGGGAAGGAGCCGCGAGGCTGGGCGGGGCTCGCGGGTTCCCGGGGCAAAGCTCGGCGCCGCCGGCTCCCTCCAGGGGGCGCTCGCGAGCGCAGCTCCGCGACCCGGCGGGCGGGCGCGCTGGGCGCTCGGGCTTCGTCAGAAGGTGGCAATCTCCCTGCCAAGCCGAGCTGCCATCTCGGGGCCGCCCGCTGTCCCTTGCTCCGCCCGAGCCGCTCCCGGCGTGCAGCCCGCCTCCCACTTTACTCTCGAGTTCACTGGGAGCCGCGCTGCCGGTCCCCCTCCCCCTGGACCCCCGCCCCCCACCCCACTGCCACCCCCCCACCCCACACTCCCCATCACCATCACCGCCCACCACGTAACCCCCAGCTCCCCGCCTCCCCACCCAGCACCCAGCATGGAGTCCGGGTTTCCGGAGGAGAGACCCAACTCTGGGCTCAGCGTCTTCTCCGCCTACGGTTGCTAAAGTGGCCTCGGAGGACGCAGGGGGCTGGAGGGGGGGTGAACGACCACCCCTGCTGCTGCACCCCCCTGACATCACTCCCCACCTGCATCTCCTCCTCCCCCCACCCCGACCCCCTATTCCCCGCCCCAACTCTACTCCAAAGCCGGATTGGCAGCCTGGAGCGGGGACACCTGGTCCCGGGCTGAATTCTCCTCCTGCTCTGGGACCCTGACACACCCAGGTAAGTCCATGCAACTCTGCGTTCGCGGGCTCGGTCGGTCGGTCGTGGGGCGCTGCTTAGCGCCAGCAACTTTTGAGCGGCTCTGCCCCCTCGCTCCTCGGGCTTGTTTATATTCTGCAGCTGCTGCTCCAAGAAGCAGCGACAGGCTTCGTCTGTCTTCCATCCCAGGGAAGTTTCTTCCATACAGCTCGCTCCTGATGTTTCCCCCAACTCCTCTAGGTGGGTTGGGAAGAGGGGGGGGGCCGGTGGGCTGCCTGGGCTTGGGGAGACAGCTGCAGGGAAGTCCCCCACCCCCGTAGAGGAGATGGGGGATGGTGTAGCTTTAGATATTGGGAAAGGGGGGAGGGGAGGGGAGATTGTCCTGGCTGAAGTTGCGACTTCCCTGTGCACTAGAAAAAAAAAAGACTGGAAGATTGTAAGGGCACCGGATAACTGTTAGGGTTCAACCTCCTCCCCAAGTCTGATTTAGAATAGCTCCCCCCACCCCCCGACACTCAGTGACATCTGGATCAAGTGAATCCCTTTGATTCGGCCAAGTCGCTCCCTTCTAGGTTAGAGGTAGTAGCCCAGAGCGGGGAGGTGGATGGGCTCAATGGAAGTGCTTACTACAGACCGAAGTGATCAGGATCCCGGGCCCCAGGCTGGTTAGGACCTGATGGAAATAGAGGTCAATCAGACAGCCCCTGATACCCTGAGTGTTGACGGGCTCCCAGGGAGCAGGCTGAGCGCAGTGAGATGCTCTTAAGAAGGCGGCACCCCATCTCCTCTTCCCACTCTGCCCTCCCTGTGGTCCTGATTCAGCTCCCGGAACCTGCCTGGCTCTAGGAAGCAGAGACCTCCCCAGGCAGGAGCTTCTAGGAAGGTGCCAACGGGATTCCTGAAGTGGGGGGCAGGAAAGGCCAGCAGGGTAGGGAGCGGGTGGGGGTGGGAAAGGAGAGTTGCCCTGGCAACTGCAGCAAAGCATCCGTCCTGCACTCCCAATTTACCCACTGATGGGGGGGATCCCAGTGCCTCCGGGGAGAGATCCGCCACCCACTTCACACCTGTACTCAAAACTACGGCAAAACCATTTCTCTCCGTCCTCTCGCTGCCATGCCGGGTTTTAAAAAAGCCTCGCATGCGTCCCTGGCTCTTGGCTCACCCAACTTTCCTTTCCTGAACAGCGTTTGTGAGCTGTCCAAGGTACTTAAAAGTGTTCTCGTTAAATGGGGACAAAACTCCACTCTAGTGAAAACAACGCCCTGGTTTCAAGTGAAATAGTCTTTTCTACCCATTCCTTTCTTTATTAGTAAGTAATGGCAAAGACCTTTGTGTATTAGTTTATTGATTTGTTTGGTTGTTGTTTTATGTTAAGACAACTCCTTGAAGCACTACCAGAGCAAAACCAAACTTTCCTGGGTTGGGTGTTTTGAATTCACGTCCCTGTTTGTAGTCTGTAGACGCTGGTTCATTGGCACAGTGCATACCCCCCAAGGACAAGAGATGAGTAACAACTTCACTTATTTTATCTGGGATGCCTTTATGGGTAGGAAGGTCCCATTTCTTTGTATTATCCTGCAGATACGGCAGAGTTCATGCTGCCTATGACTATGATTAGATAACTTCTGATGTTTTCCTTTCCCTTGCTGGGCGGCCACTTTGGGGTTAAATTTATTTGATCGGCCTTACAAAATCACTCTGTGAGATCAGGGAGTGAGCCCGGAGCAGGGCATGGGTACTCACCTATAAGGAGACTGCTGAAAATAGCAGGAGGGTTGGCAAATCCAAATAGGATTCCTGCATTGATGTGCATGCTAATAAAGCCAGATTCTCCTCTTTCATTTCTGCCGGGAAGATTTTGATGGTTTCACAGGATCAAA